TCTGCGACTGGAGTGGCGGTACTCCCGGCATAACCGTACGCGACTTCAATTTGTCCACAATAACAAGTGCGGCGGTGCTTCTTACGAGAGTGCTGCTGCGTTCTTTTAGTCATTGAGCGCATCAAGAGTGGCGCTGCTTGATCGAATCGGCGGGATAAGCTCGTTACGTCGCGGCGTATTGATGCAATTTCCTTCCTGGGGGGAGGGGTGGAAAGGAGAGCGCGATGACGACAACAACGTGCGACTGCTTTCCTTCCCGTCGCGCACAAAGGCGAACGCGCTTACCGCTAAAAGGCGTCCCGACGAAAAATGGCAGCGCCGAGGCGGGCGCCGTTTTCCCTGAGAGAAAGTCGAGCGACGATACGCGTTTCATATAGGAGGCTCTCCTCCCCGTCGTTTGCGTTAACTCGACATCTCGACGGCCATCCTTTTCCATCTACTCGCAGTTGCTCGTCCTCGCCGCTCGCAATAGCGTCGGTCTCGCATTCAGCCGCCCCCGCGCCACCCCCTCCGCGGGAATGGCAAACGACGGCTTCTCGGAAATCCCCGCTTTCTTCTTTTTCATTTCGTTGAATCGGCCAATTTTTCCTTACGCGGAATCAGCGACCGCAAGACCCTGCGGAGCGCTTCTCGTTGTGTTGGACGATGTGACAGGATCGCCGCGTCGCGATATCCAGTTCTCCTGATATCGATTTCTCCTGCATGGATCGTCTTCCTCTCTCGTCTTCCCGAGCGATTTTCGCGAACGGATCCGCACGAAATGCGCAATGAGCCAATGCGTGCCCATTGCATATTCCTCGCGCGACGAAGCGCGGAGTCGCAGCAGTCGCAGTCGCTTCTTTTCGTTCTCTCTCCTTCTCCGTCTCTCTTTCGGTACACCCCTTCCGCGTATTCTCGAGCGGTCGCTATTTTTCCGACGCGCGAGCGCGATGACATAATGCGCCGCCATAAGAGCGCCGAATTACGACGCTGGCGCGCGAGCTTCGCGCTGTGTACACGCATGTATCGGCACACACATACACACACACGTGCGCGCGCGTGCGCACGCACGCACGCACGCACGCACGCACACCTACGACTACGTTGCAGCGCGCGCGCGCGCGCGCTTCCAGGCCTCTTCACCACTCGTGTGCACACGCCTGTGTTACTGCACTATGTGTACGTCGTGCGTGTGTGCGTGGCCGAGGCGCGTGTGCGGCCCCGCGGCGACCTTGAGCCTCCCTCTAGGAATCCCCTCCTCCATCTCCCTTCCAGCGTACCGTGTGCGTTTTGCCACCACGCGATACCGCGCGACCCCCACCTCGTTGATGCGTACGTCTCTCCCACTGCCTCCTCCTCCTCCTTCTCCTCTTCCTCCTCCTTCTCCTCCTTCTCCTCCTTCTTCTTCACCATCATCTCGTCGTCCTCCTCCTCCTCCTCCTCCTCCTCCTCCTCCTCCTCCTCCTCCTCCTCCTCCTCCTCCTCCTCCTCCTCCTCCTCCTCCTCCTCCTCCTCCTCCTCCTCCTCCCCCACGTCATCCCTCGCCATCCTTTCGCGGTTCCGGAGGCACGCAACTCGCGCGAGGCGCCTCCAACGCCTAAAATTCCCCTCACCGCTCTCACTTCGGAGCTTCCTAACGATGGGCATCGATCGGCGCCGTTACCCGCCGATTTTTTATCAGACCGTGCTGCATGCGCGTGTGGGCGCGCGCTTGATATTGGTATATCCATGGTATATAGCCCGCCGGATTCGTCAGCTCCCGTGTCGGCAACGCGGGCTAATTTCACGGCACGCTGGACACGTTGAATCGGGAATGCGTGCGTTTACGTGCGCCCATCCGCACCTCAAGGTTGCCGCCGCGGGATCTTCTCTCTCTAGCCGCGCGAATCCCGCGAATGGCGCTCCGCGTTCGCGATGCGGCCCTGCTATATTGGGCGAAGAACGCGCGGTGGGGACGTGTGATACCTTAGAAGCGTTAGGGGGGAGAATACATTCGAAAACGAGACGAGCGGAGGGAGAGGGCCAGAGAGAGAAAGAGAGAGAGAGAGAGAGAGAGAGAGAGAGAGAGAGAGAGAGAGAGAGAGAGAGAGAGAGAGAGAGAGAGAGAGAGAGAGAGAGAGAGAGAGAGAGAGAGAGAGAGAGAGAGAGAGAGAGAGAGAGCGCGCGCGAGCCGAATAGAGCTAGGGTTCTTTAGTAGTTTGGAGAAAAAGAGAAAGAAAAAGCAAGAACGCGCGCGCGGCAGAAAGAGAACAGGGAGTACCGCGAGGCGAAACTTCTAACCTTAAGCAATCGTTCCGCGCCGGCGACCCCTACCCCTGCCACCCACCCAGAGTTCCCTTTCCTCCGAGGGTTCCGTGTTACCGTCAGCGGGTGCCGAAAACACCGAGAGCGCGTGCGAGAGAGAGAGAGAGAGAGAGAGAGAGAGAGAGAGAGGGAGGGAGGAGGAGAGTGAGAATCCCCCACACATACCGCCGGTTTCGTCTAACCGCATTTGCATCGCCACCGATGACCCATATTCACGCTCTTTCCACTGCGATACACTAGCAGCGGTGGTTCCTCATGCTCTCTCTGCCCCGTTGATCCATCGCCTCCTCGTCGTCCCTCCTCCCCATCCTCTCGGGCGGTCCGTTCTCCCACGACTCCCCGCGGTACCTCTCAGCCTCCTCTCTCTCTCTCTCTCTCTCTCTCTCTCCTCTCTCTCTCTCGCTCCCCTTCGCTCGCACGCCCGCGATTTTTCGGCTCCCGCGCGGCGACGGCGGTGGCGGTGGCGGCGGCGGCGGCGGACCCTCCCGCGCCCGCACGGACGAGCCCCGGCATCGAGCGACGACAGTCACGCGCGATTCGTTCATGTGCCGATGCGCGATGCAAGCCGGTGATTCGATTTTGGCCGGCAGGCGCATATAGCCAGTCAGTCAGTCAGTCAGTCAGTCAGTTAGTCAGTCAGTCAGTCAGTCAGTCAGTCAGTCAGTCAGTCGACTCAGCAGTGCTCGCACAGCCGATGCGTGTTTTCGGACACACATTCATATACACACACACACACACACACAACAGTGCGCACGCACGCACGCACGTATGCACGCACGCACGCATGCACGCACGCACGCACACGCTCACGCTCACTCACGCCCGTACGCAAGCACACGCGTATACATCACACTCGTGTGCTCGCGCGTGCGCGCGCGTACTCGCGCGCAACGACCGAGTTCTCGAAAAGTGCTCTCGCGGCCGCGCGCCGTTCACGCACGTTCGGAGATCCCGCTTGATTGCGGACGCAGTCGGTGATACAACACAGTGGACGACGCACGTGGATTATGAGCCGCGAGGACACATGCGCGCGGTGCCGAGCTCGCTCATTGTAGCTGTTCCTCTCTCTTCCTCTTCTTCTTCCTCATCCTCTTCCTCTCCCTCTCCCTCTCCCTCTCAGGTAGCGGCGAAATTCACCTGACGCGCATCGCGGTTCGCGCGAGAGACGGAGGCGCAGATAGCAGATGCATCTGTCGGAGTGGCCTTGCTAGTGGCCGTGATACGTCGTTGTCATAAGGTCCGTGAATGAGGCCGGAACAGCGGTTACGTGGTCCCGCACTCGTTGACACGCCCCTGCACCGGTAGGTCCCTCTCTCTCTCTCTCTCTCTCTCTCTCTCTCTCTCTCTCTCTCTCTCTCTCTCTCTCTCTCTCTCTCTCTCTCTCTCTCTCTCTCTCTCTCTCTCTCTCTCTCCTCTCTCTTTCTCTTGCGCGTTCGGCCGAACGTTTATCGCGGCCGCGGTGCGGAAATGCGGTGGAATTTCGGACATGGCGCTCGCTCGGCCCGGCGCGATAGAAGGCCGCCATACATGCGAGCGCGATTTCGGACGATGACGAGAAAGGTAATTCTCTCTCTCTCTCTCTCTCTCTCTCTTTTTCTTTCTCTTCCTCTCGGGCATGTAACGCGGGATCGCGCGTCCGATAGTTTTTCTGTCACGATAAGCCGTATCCGAAAAAGGGAGAGAGAAAGAGGGAGAGAGCGAGAGAGCGAGAGAGCGAGAGAGAGAGAGAGAGAGAGAGAGAGAGAGAGAGAGTCAGTGGGTCGGGAGAGGTATGTCGCACGCGCGATATCTCGAGGTTATCAACATATTCAAGCTGGAGTGAGACGGCCGCGCGGTAGTGCGATCTGATATTCTTCGTGGGTCGTTCATTGACGGAGCGATCTCTCCTCGCGTGTAGTATACTACCGAGTTGGCTTGCGCCGCGTAAACTCCGCGCGCGCCGGAGGATTATCTATCCCGGCGCGGGGATCGCAGGACTGCCGTGTCCGACTGTTTCGCGAACCTTGAGGAGCTCACGGACCATTCGACTGTGCGCAGTGTAGTGACACATCTTGTGCGTCGCTCGCGCGTGACATAACGCGAGCACGGACGCGCGCAGCGCGCGTCCTCTACCTCCCCGCCCCCCAGCCCCGCTCCGGCGAGTGTTTACCGCCTGCTGAAACTTGTCGCCGGCGATTTCGCAACTTTTAATCGAACGGCCACCGCGCTTCTCTCGTTTCCGCGTTACACCGATTGATGATTGCTCTCCGACATCCACGCGCACGACGTAAACCCCTTTTCTCCTTCTCTCTTTTTTCCTTTCTCTCTCTCTCTCTCTCTCTCTCTCTCTCTCTCTCTCTCTCTCTCTCTCTTTCTTTCTGTGCCTCTTCTCGTCACAGTGCGAGAAAAAGAGAGAGAGAGAGAGAGAGAGAGAGAGAGAGAGAGAGAGAGAGAGAGAGAGGGAGAGAAAGTGAGATCGGTCGATAATCGAGATTGTGTTTTCTGCGTAGCTGGACGAACAGTTGGGCACGAGCGCGATCAAGAAGGTAAATACGCACTGGAAGGTGGCAGCGAGAGGGGTGGTGAAGGTCACGGAGTTGAATCTAAGGGTGGCATCATGGACTCTGATCAGCAACAGTTCTGCCTCAAGTGGAACAGTTTCGGCACGAATCTATTAACGGCGTCCTTGAACTTATTCAAAAACGAGAGTCTCACCGATGTCACCCTGTTCTGCGAGGGTAAGTCTCTTGATACGTGAACACGTTCTTTAACGCTTCCTTTTCGTCGACTCCTCGCGTGTCGGTATCGCGATTTAGATTATTATCCCTTTTAATGCGATTCTGCCTCTCCTTGTTCAACGAGAGAAAAGCACATTCCGCGGAATAATATATTCTTCATTAATCCTTAGTGGTGCGATGGCAGTCTTATATATCTTTCACCAACCCACCAAGTTGAAAAATTGTAAAGGGTCGCCCACGGGAGACCGGCCGGAGGGCTGCGGTACCTTCGAGTTTTAACGTTGAGAGCGCACGCGCGCGCGCGCACGTAAGATCTCGGCGTAAGATTACCGGCGCGAAATCTTCAAGTTTGAGAAAAAGGTTAAAGATAGTAACACGCGCCTCTAATCGTAAACACCGAATCGTAAGCATTCGGCTCTACTCCATCCAGAGGCCTTGACTCCTTGGTCTCACTTATGCAGGCAGAGGGTCGATGCTTGCCGTCGACTGGAACGCACAAAGAGAAGCGTGTTGTCTATTGAAGGCGTAAATATGCGCGTACGATTTTTACGCGCGTCCGAGGTGGCCCTCTACTCGCGTGTCTCGTTTATTATTACGTCAAATATATATCGAGCTCACCGACGACACAGGCAGATGCCTGCGAGAGAGAGAGAGAGAGAGAGAGAGAGAGAGAGAGAGAGAGAGAGAGAGAGAAGGTGAGGGGAGAGGAGAATTTCTCGTGTCTATTTTTCGCGAGTGATAAATAGGCTCGTGGACTTTCACTTTTTCGACACTTTGTGGTACTCGACCATCTCGGAAGCGAAAGGTTCCATGGTTTGTGCGCACGACAGAATCCCGACGCACTCGGCTGCAATGAATCGATTATTGATCCGGGCGGACGAGCGATTAACGATCGTCCATTTAAAGGAGAAGAAGACGCGATAATGCAAATTAATCCGATATTTCATAACTTCGCAATTCAAATGTTATACCAGTCTCACGCGCCAAACGCGCCACGGACGAGTTGTTGCGTCAACAGCGATCGCCGGGCCGAGGAATCTCGCGAATTCGTTCCCTCTAACGAGTTAGATGACGTTTTTAACGTCATGCCGGTGTGCCGACCGGCGCGGTAATTACTGAATGGATATTTTTAATTCGTTTTTCTAGCGGCATCTGGAGTAAAAAGAGCCGCACAAATTTAAATGTCATTTTACAAATTCCTACACTTCGTAATACGTACTTCACACGCGACGGACATTCGATGAGAAAGAATGAATATTAATTGAGAATTAAGATACAATTTGTGGAAATGCGATAGAATAGTGAGCAGAGGCTTGAAATAGGCGCGATTCAGAGGCGTATATGTAAATCGCTAAAACCGATTGAAAGCTTCTCGAGCAAAAATTTCGGCCCTATATTCGATCTTTTTAACATTTATCAATTCTGAAGAATCAATGGAAATTTAATCAGTCCAAAACAATAATCAGTGTCTCCAAATGGCAGAAAACGTGCGATTTTCCACTTGTAAGTTTTTAGAGCACCTCTGGACAAAGTTATAAGTTGAATACAATTAAAAGAGATTAAAAGAGATAAATTAATATTTCAGATTTTATATGTTTTATAGATTTTATAATATTTTACATTGGCGTTAAATAAAAGCTCTATTTTCAACGTCATCATTTGTAGATTAGTCTAACATATATAGATTTCCAAAGATCAATAGAGATTTAATTTATACTGAAACTAAAGCCCTCTTCAGCGCCTCTCCAAATATCAGAAAATGCACGATTTGCGATTGGCAGGTTTTTAAAATTTTTCAGAAGCAAAGCTTCAAGCGTCGAGTTTCGGAGTATTACGCGTCGGCGTTATAAAAGAAATATTGAAATCCAAAGTAAGGTGAGAATTTTCACCCGAATTCTGCAGACCGATGGACATTTCTCTTGCATAGAAACCAAAGTCCAACTCAGTGTTAAATCATTCAGAAAACGTACAAAATTTGCCGTTTGCACGTTCCCAGAAGTGGATCCGTCAAAGGCAAAGCTGTAGATTGCATATAACCGAAAATAATCGATGCAGACCTCAAAGTATTAAACGAGCGTTCAATGAAGCGTCGAGGTCGAAAGTGGAAATTGAAAGTCCTCCTCGCAAAGATCAATGGAGATTCAATTTACACAAAAATTAAAGTCTTACTCGGCCTACTCTCCAAATGCTAGAAAACGCACGAAATTTGCCATCTGTTCCGGAAATCTCTCGGAAACAAAGCTTTCGGGCTAAATGAAGTGTAACAAAAAGAAGTGTCGAGTTGCAGGCTTCGGAGTATTAAATCGGAGGATTAAACAGGAGGAACATTGAAATCAAAAGTAAGATGTGAAAATTCGAGTTCCGCAGGAGCAATGGACATTTCTCCTTCGCACAGCCTCGGAAGTTTCGCTCGTTCCGAGTCGCGAGCGCGCGCCGTATCTACTGACGCGCGAGAGAGACGGCGGCACGGCAGGCCGCGTCAAGTTGGCGCGTTACCACTTGCGCACCACTTGGCCGCAAGTGGTACAAGTTCGCGACTGCATCTACGAAGCGCAGGGGGTAGACGGCCGCGATCGGCTGGCCCCTACCCCCTACCCCTTGCTTGGGCGAATCCCCACCGAATCGCGCGCAGAGTCGGTCGCAGGCCGGTATGCACGCGAATCTCGGCCGGCGCGGTGCAGGAGGGGAGGGTGGGGGAGGGGCGCCTGATGTGGCGGCCGAGTGCAGCGCGTGTGCATGTGCACGCACACACCTACACACGCGAATTTCCTTGTGCGCCTTCCCCACCGACGCAGCGAGTGCAGCGGCACTCTTGCGGCCCGTCCGCGCGAAACCGCAGTTCGCCGCGAGCCGTGCTGCAACGCGCTCGTTCTGCAATTCCGGTCGAGCGATTCGACGATGAGCGTGTGAACGGCCGACGGAACGGAGGAGAATCGCCGCTGTACAACGTCGTAATAAATAATCCGAATTCCGAGTGTTGAAGTGCGCCAATCGCGGCTCGCGACCAAGTGCGCGTTCGGAATCTGTCCCTTTTTATATTCCGGACTGATGAGTGCGCGCGTGAAAGAAGAGAGCACGCGCCGCGCGTGTGTATATTGTGAATGGAGGCTCTCTCGGGGGGCTACGCTACTGCGACGTCAATAAAATTCGGAAGGACTTATCAGTGGGAGTGATAACGGCCTTACACGCGCGGCATGTGGAACTAGATATTCACTTCTTTATCGTCGCCGCTGGCAACAAACAAGAATGTGCAATTTCGCGACGCGCCGTCGCCGGCCAAGTGGCTCCGGACGTGGCAGGTACAATATGCGATTGTACGATGCGATTAAATATTTTACACACACACACACACACACACACACACACACACACATACACACACGTACACATACACGTACGGCCCAAAGCCAGCCGAGATGTAGCGCTCGGCGGAGCGCGTAAAGTCCGGGGCATTCCGATCGATCAAATAATCTTTATTGCACGCGGCGGACGTGGAATTGGTCTCGTTAATTGGCCAGTTGGGCCACCAATTGGCGCGCGAGTCTCCTTTCCATAATGATCGTCGTGGTGGTCATTTGGAGAGCGACCGCCGCCGCTTCTTCTCAACGTCGCGCCAGTTATCTGCGGCCGAGTAGCCGTCGATGCAATGACGGTGCCGACGGGGTCCGTCGGCACGATTTATTTATCATGCGGCAACTCCGCGCGTAATAGTAGCGCGGCTGATTGATCTTCGATCGCTCACGTTAATCAGATGCGTCTTAACCCATTAATGCCGGCTGGGACAGAAATTTCGGGTTGATTTCAATGTTATGAATTTTTATGAAAATACTCGAAAATTTCAATCCAAAGTACATTACTAGGGGTTTTCGAGGTCGCTCTTTCCGAATTCGCTGCGAGAATAATACAAAAATGAGTGTTTATATTGATTCGTAACGGTTCTTTTCCAAAAAATTCGATTTTTTCTCGTCAATTTTTTTTTTAAATCATGGATTTCATCTTGATAAAAATGTTGAATATTACTAAAGTACTAAAAAGTAGTCCAATCGTGTTCTCGAGACTTATACTTAAAATATATGTAGTTCTGAAATTTATTGCAATTTTGTAATTTCAATATGGCGACCATATACATGTATCACCATAGGTATCACTAGATCCTTGGGAACTCGGTCGAATAACTCGTTATGAGCGCATTTTTATGAAAAATTATCCAAAATAAAAGTCGCCCTGTTGATCGTGTTCTTTCACGTGGTAGGTCCCAAATTTGGATTCGATGTACTTTTTGGGCCTAACGGGGCCCAACGTTGATTTTTTGGTGCAAAACTTGTATTTTTTTATTACACAGTTAAAAACGTTTCGTACTTTTGTTAAAGTTTTTTGTGTGTAGAAAATTTTGTGTTAAATTTTTTACACAGTCGTGTGTTAATTTAACATATCATTGTTGTGTTACTCGGACTTTCTTGTGTTAAATTAAGATTAACTATTTTCAAGTGTTAAAATAACATTTTCAAATGTTAAAATAACACAATTTATATGTAAATGCATGAATTCTTGCTCTGACATATTTTATATGTTAAAATCAAAACCTAAAATGTGTTAATTTCCTCATTACAACAGTTATCCATGTGTTATATTATATAAAGATTGGATTTTTAGCACATAGATTATGTCAATTTAACATTTTCAATTCATCAAATCATAGATCATTACTTCTTCCAAATGTTGAAGTAACATTTATTGTATGTCAATTTAACACAAACTGTGATTCTTGACGGCATCTGAGTGTTAAATTTTTGTGTTAATGTTTTACATATTATGCGTGTTACTTTTTAACATATTTGCTGTATGTTAAATTAACACGTAAATGAGAGTGGATGATTTGAGACACATGAAATATGTTAAATTTAACACATTGTTTCTTACAGTGTACAGATTTGAAAAGTACAGAAAATTTTACGTCCAGATATGTATTTTTGAAATTACAAGTCTCGAGGACACGATTG